GAGATCTACATCTATCCTCGTTTGTAAGTAAAAATATAGAAGCGTTGTCAGCCGTGAGGACTAATAATGCCTCTTTTCCAGTAAAAAGGGTTTAAATTAAAATCATTTTTCGTACTTATTCTATTATTCTTCCGTTTACAAAAATTTGATATTTTATTCCAATTTGTGTCAATATAAAGTAATTATCGATATAAGACTTATACTGTATAATACTACTTAGATTTTTTTATAGAATAAGGGTGACAAACAAGCACGCAGTAGACCTGATGGTAAGTGGTTGCAGTGGCCCATAGACATCTACATCTATCTTCGTTTGCGAATTAAAATGCAGATATGTTGTCAGCCGCGTGGACTAAGATAGAATTCCTCTTTTCCAGACTAATGGGTCTCTCTCTCTACACTCACCATACGAAACACAGCAATGTAATATAGCAGCATTAAGCTGCTATATTACATTGGTATTCTGTGAGAGCGTGGTCCATCCCCGGTCGAGCCACGTAAAATTGCAGTGTAATGACGTAGGAAGAAATCCATCACCCACATTTCGCAGTAATGGCAGCAGGCCTTCTCTAATGTAGGGCAACTTCTTGATATTTGTACGGTTACAGCTTATCAAATGTCCACTGCCGTACATAAAGCTCCCGTAGAGTACACCTGATAGGGGGATATTTGCCATAGTTGCAACGCTTGTTAGGCTGGTTGGCAACAATAGTTTTTTTTTTTATTCTCGCCTCTTAAGGCACGCACATGACGATATAGTATAGTGAATATTCTAATACCGCAGCTACACAGTCAGTTATTTGTAACTGAGATGTAGATGATTTGTTGATCTGTTAAGAAATGCAGGAAGTCGATGGATGAAAATGGCTCAAGTCGATGGACACAAGTAGACCATATTTTCTTGCATTCCTTAAGAGACGTCTATGTTCAGTAGTGAACTTGTGATATAATGATGATGATGAATTGGATAATCAGATAAGTGTAATATAAGTTTAATAAAGAGATGTTGTAATCACTTCATTTTTTAAAACCTTTCTTTCATCTACACCCTCGCTTCTATGTTCAAAAACAACAGACTCCCAAAATCGTAACCCAACATTCGTACAAAGAAAAATATCATTGTACACTCCCTCTGAGTAAATAAACCAAGTTCTTGTGTCAATACTGACATGTCAGCACATTAAATTCACTTAATTACTCGTACGTTTACAAAAATAACTGAGATCTTTCGTCTGTTTGGTATAGAGGTGAAAATCGCTCGGCTATTTGGAGAAAATATTGTAAACTTAAATGGTAAGCGTATGTCACATGCAAGAACTTGCACTAAGCATCACTCTACGTCGAATTAACGAATTCCTGACAGTGTTTAAATAAAAGGCGGGAATGAAAAATTACTTGTTATGCAATTAGCTCATATGGCTGTATGTATACAATATGTATACAGATTGTATTAAACCACACTAAGATAATAAAATTGCACTACTATGATTTTATCACACAAAGTAAGCTGAAATTGTTTTTACATAATAGACGAGTTTATGTATTATAAAATGACACAATACGCTTTTATTATTTATATGTTACAGTCAAAAGTCATAGCCGGTCAAAACCACTTTTGACTGTAAAAAATCAGGCAAAAGTAGTTTTGACTAAGGACGTCTGTAAATACCACTTTTAACGGATTTTTCGAGTCAAAAGTAGTTTTGACTAAGAGCGTTGGGCAAAATCATTTTAACAGCAAATATATTGCATAGTGATTTTAACCAAATTACATCGGCTAATATTAGTTTCGACCAAGAATGTTAGTCAAAACTATATTGACTTATACTTTTTGAATTTCTGAAAGTAAAAAGTTAAATTTCTTCAATATTATATTTTATATCATTATAATGTACGCGGCTTTAGGGTGGCCCAAGGGCCACCCCAGCCGCACCTTAACCTACTGTTACAGATATTAGTTTTGACCGATAGTCAGAAGTTTAAATCAGACAACACCACTTGACTAAGAACGTTGGTTAAAACCACTTTGACTACAAAAATCAGTCAAAACTGTTTTTGACTAAGGACATCAGTCAAAATTATTTTTGCCTGATTTTCGTAATTATAGTGGTTTTTTGACCGTGTATGAGTTTTGTCTGTGGACATATATATTCGACTACTTATTTTGATAGCTTTATTTTAATATTTTTTAGACTTTGCAATTGTTTAATTAAATAAGACAATTATGTAGGTACATTACTTTGCAAAATTTTATAATTTGTAATATATTATATTTATTAATTAAAAAAATTATATTATTAACTATTTATTTTTATATTTGGACGCCTAAACGGGCAGAATTAGTAAAATTTACCTAATGCGAGGCAATTTTTAAGCTAATTCAAACAAATAAATACCTAATAAATAAACTCAAAATGTGCAAATTGTGTAAGTTCGTAAATATTTTTGTATATACATGCTTTTTATAGGTCATACAAAGGACTGAGGTGTCCATCGTAACAGCTTCTTTAAGGAGTATCTAGTCTGTGAACATGTTCAGGATTGTCCCATCGGATTTAATAAATAACAAATCATAGCAAAAAATCAACAAACATTACCAAACATGATTGGTGAGGCTATTACAATGAAAAAAAAACCTTATTTAACGCTTAACCAGTGAGCTATCATCATCATCATCATTACAGTCTTTCGCCAGTGTTCTGCTGAACATAGGTCATCCTGCATTTCATAATAGGTCGTACCTAGGTCGTAACTCCATCCAGCCTGCCACACGAGTTTTTTTTTATAGGATAAGGGTGACAAACGAGCACACAGTCCACATGATGGTAAGTGGTTGCTGCGGTCCATAGACATCTACATCTATCCTCTATTACAAATCAAAATGTAGATGCGTTGTCACCCGTGAGGATGATGAGGATGATATAAACGTGGCGTCGTTAAGTAAACATTAGCTTCGCATTAGATTCGTAATTAAAATAATATCAGCGTGTTAATATTAATTATTGTGTGTGAAACTTAAAGTAGACAATACAGTTATCCTCATTAAATGTTATTTACATTTGTTATGAGGACTAAATATAAAAAAGTGGGAAAAACTCTGTGTATTGTGAATTTCACCGATTATTAATCTATGGCTACATTTCTCATAAAATAAAATGTAAAAAGTGTTCTAAACATAAATATTAACCAGTTGTGACTGTGAGCAATATAAACTATAAGCGAAAAAATATAAAATAATATTTGAAAAAGACGGTACAAAACAAACTTTGGTGCGCGTTTTATACTGTGGCTCGTGATTGGTGGACTCATTGAACTGTCTAATCGGTTATCTCCATTGGTCAGTTTGCGACCATAGTCTACTATCCGCATATGCTGACATTTTTCATATGTTCTTACAGTTGCCCGTTTGGCCTAGTCGGATAAGTACGAACATTGACGTCGAATAGTCGGGGTTCAAACCCGCACCGCTTCTTAATAAGTTCAGTTTTTATTTTATTACATTTTTTATTTATATTTTTTTCCTTAAATATTATTCAAGATGACACTAAAATGCGATAACTGTGAAAAGGATATTATTGGAAAAAATTACATAACTTGTGCCAATTGCCAGAACTTCTATCACATAGATTGTACAAGTATAGGAGAAAAAAGGTTCTACTTAATGCCTACAGAAAATAGAAAAAAATTAAAATGCGACGGTTGTAAATACAATATAACGCCAGACCCTACTAAAATTCAAGTTAATATTCCTACTGAAAATTCTTTTTATTCTCTCAGTGAAATAGATACGGAAACTTCGCAAGAATCTTTTAATTATATTACTCATAGAAAAAAACAAAAACAGACTTCTCAAAAAAATCTGTCTACATCGTATATGTCTATTAATGATATCGCTATTGATTCAAGAAGCTCAAATAGTCTTCCAGATCTCAGTCAAATAATAACTACTGATAATTTGCTAATATTAAAAACGGAATTGATGAGATTACAAACAGAACTTAACATAGCCAACAATGAAATTAAAAACTTAAACGCAATAAATTTAGAACTAAATAGGAAAAATCAAGAGCAACAGAAAATTATAGAATTATACAAAACCATAAATATAGATGAATTAAACACTAATAAGGCTCTAATTAACCCATGCATGTCTACCCCGCTCAGCAATCAGTCTGGAAAAATTAAGAGGTATCCCTCTTCCAGAAAGGAAGTACCAATGCCTGAAGACTGTAATAAAAAACACATTGCAACTATACCCATACATGTGAATAAAAGAGACTTCACCTATAGAAATAACAAGAGCGATACATCTAAGCCTCTTAATTATACAAATGAGCACAAATTTAACATTAAACCCAATATATGTATAATCAGCAGTATAAGTAACCACAAGCAATCTTCGATAATAAGAAACAACCTCATGGAGCAGAGCGCCGCATACTGTCACTATCGCACACCAGGCGGCGACTTAGACCAGCTGTCACGTGGCTTGCAGGAGAAGCTCGCGAACTTCACTCTAAACGATTATTGCATACTTATGATAGGAGATACTGATTTTAACGTTTCCAAAAATTATAAAAATATTGTATATATGTTAGAGAAACGCATCTTGGCTGTACAACACACAAACATTATTATTTGTTTACCGACATATAAATATAGCTATAATTTTAATCTCTTCAATAAAAGAATTGAACAATTCATTAATTTGTTATACTCGGATAATAAAATACACAAATACTGCTGTATACTGGACTCAAACAAACATTTAGAATATTCATATACTATGTTTTCGAAATATTCAGGCAAAATAAATATAAAAGGTGTTTATATTGTCTTGAATGACTTATATAAGTTAATGTCAGATATTGCAAAAGAACAGCCAAATGCAAATATTGTTTATAAAAGTACCTCTTGTTCTGTTAGTCCGGTGAAGGAAAGAAAGACACCTTGTTGCTCCTTTCGTTCCTTTACAGGATACTAACAATAAACTAAATACTATGCAAGCACAAACAGTTCTAAACGGTCTTAATATTCTTCACCAGAATATTCAGGGCATAAGGTCTAAACTCAACCAGATAGAAGTTCTATTAACTATGGAAAACATTGATATTATGTGTATTAGTGAGACTTTTTTAAAGAAACAAGATGTTAATTTTCTACAAATTCCAGGCTATAAAGTTGCTGACTCATATTGTAGAAATGAGTCCAGAGGAGGGGTTTATGTTAAAAATAGTATGGATTTTATTACACTTCCCTGTATAAATCAATTAAGCATAGATAAATACCTAGAATGTTGTGGTATACTGTTGCCAGAATTAAATTACATTATTGTTTGCTGTTACAGAACTCCAGACTCAAGTTTTGAAATATTTATAAAAACATTGCATTTGCTATTACATAGAATTACAGTACGTTCAAGATATATGACTAAAAAAGTAATAATAGCCGGTGATTTTAATATTAATTTACTTGAAAATACTCCAAAATGTTTACTTTTTAAAAATACTGTATTAAAATATAACTTAAAACTAACAATAAATGAACCAACTAGGATAACAATAAAATCGAAAACTTGCATAGACAATATCATAACAAATATTAAAGGTTGCAGCTCAAAAGTTTTACATTTAGGATTATCTGATCACTCTGCACAATACATAAACGTACCGTGTAATCAAGGTTATATTGAAAAATATTGGTATGTACATAGGAGGAATGAAAATAAGTATTTAATTATCTTTCTAAAATATCTCTCTCAATTAAGTTTTTCTGAAGTTTTCTCGTATCGTGATGTTAATCAGGCGTATAATACTTTCATTAGCTTATTCAAATTATTATACGATCTTTGCATACCTGTAGAAAAGGTTAGAATTTCTTTTAAGAAAAGGTCAAATTGGCAGACAGTTAGCATTAAAAGAGCGTGTAAAACTAAAAGATACTTATATCAAAAAATACTGAAATATAAGAAAAACGAATTAATACCGTATTATAAGAAATACTGCAAAATATTAAAATCCGTAACACGTTTAGCAAAACAAAAAACAAATATAAAATTCATTAAAAATAGTAACAACAAAAATAAAGCTACATGGTACTTAATAAGAAAGCAAACCACTTCACAAAACATATTCAAAACAACTATTAAAAATGTGACCATTGATAATACTAATATCACGGATGCAGGGGCTATAGCAGAAGTTTTTAACACTTATTTTGCTACCATTAACACTCAAACACAAGCCACAGATACCTACCCTCTACCATCTACACATCTACATAGCCTATATTTATCACCCGTTGACGCAAATGAATTGAAAAAAATAATCACAAACCTGAAAAATAAAAAGAGTTGCGGCTATGACAATATATCGATCCAAATTATTAAAAAATCCATAGAGTATATTAGTGAGCCGCTTGTTTATTTACTTAACTTAATGATAGAAACTGGTACCTTTCCACATGAATTAAAAACAGCAAAAATCAAACCTTTGTTCAAAAAAGGTTCAAAATGTAATATCAAAGACTATAGGCCCATAGCTCTTTTATCCAACTTCTCAAAAATATTTGAAAGAATCATCTACGATAGGATTATAGAGTTTTTCAAAAAATATAGTATAATAAATAAAAATCAATTTGGTTTTCAGAAAAATAAATCCACTACACTTGCAATGTATGAAATACTTAAGGAAATTTGGGAATCTTTAAATAATAAAACTTCTTGTGTAGGTTTGTTTTTAGATATGTCAAGGGCATTTGACTGTGTAATATACGATGTACTATTAAATAAACTTGACAAATTAGGTATACGTGATTTGGCATTAAAACTGTTAGAAAGCTATTTAAAAAATAGAGAACAACTCACAGCTATTGAAAAATTTGACAAAATCAGTAAAACTTTCGAAGAAGTACAGTCCAAGCCAGTTAAAATGACACTAGGTTTGCCACAGGGGAGTATTTTGGGCCCTCTGTTATTCTTAGTTTATGTGAATGACTTGCCAAATGTCACTGACAATAGATGTGTTATGTTTGCTGATGATGCAACTATCTTTATACCCGATACTCAAATAAATTTTGAAAATAACATAAATAAAACCTTAAAAATAGCAGTCGAATGGCTTAATAAAATTAATTTAAACGTAAATCTAACAAAAACTAAAATTATTCAATTCAGAAATTACAAAACAAAATCTTTAAATTTAAATATTGCAGATAAAGACACCCAAATAGAAACAGTTGATAACATTAATTTTCTTGGAGTCACCATAGACTGTCATTTAAACTGGAAATCCCACATTGAAAAAATAAACAAAAAAATATCTAGCTATAGTTACGCATTATCCATATTAGCAGAAACAACTTCCGTTGATGTATCAAGGGCTGCATACTTCGGCCAGGTATACCCTCTATTAGTTTACGGCATTATTTTCTGGGGTAATTCTACAAACGTGCAGTCAACATTTATTCTGCAAAAGCGATGTCTGCGGATCATTTATAATATGTACTCAGACGAAACTCTAAGAAATGTATTCAAAGAAAAAGGTTATCTCACTCTTACTAATATTTACATTTTAGAAATTTCAATTTTTATCAAACAGAATAACAAATATTTTCAGATTAAATCAAACTTGAATTCACGTCCAATACGTAGTCAATATAAGAACAATTTATGTACACCTAAAATTAATAATTACATGTATTATAAGAGCACTTTTTGTACAGGTATTAAAATATTCAATCATCTGCCACCTAATATAAAAGCTATGGACTTGCCAAGATTTAAAATACACCTCAAGAAGTGGTTAATATATAATGTGTTTTATAATTTAAATGAATATTTTAATACCAAACATTAATTTATATAAAGTTTTATTTCTTAATTATTGCATACCCGATATGGGTAAACTGTGTAACATTTAATTGCAATGTCACCCGCAAATTGTACATACACAGCTTATTGGCAATAAATATTCTGATTCTGATTCTGATTCTGATTCTGACTAAGATGAAATGACTCATTTCTAGTAAAAATGGCCTCCGGCCACCTGCACTCACCAAGCGAAACGCAGAGGTAAACCTCTACTTCACGCTGGTTTTCTGTGAGGTCTTGGTACCACCCCGGTTCGAGCCGGCCCATCCGTGCGACAGCAAAAGCTGCCGCGTGGCTCTACCACGGTTGTCGGTTCTTTAAGCTAAAAATGTTGCCAAATCATTGTATTGTCTCTTTAGATTACTGATCCCTTAGGCAATAGTGGTATAAATCATTAGAAGGTAAATTTAAGTGTAACAAAAATTCCACTGTTACTATAAAATAAAAAAAACGATGCATTTTATTAATAATATTAAATGACGAATGTAAACAAAAATCCATGTAACGCTGTAGGTGTGTTATATAAATCATGATAGCGTTTATTTAATAGAAACCGAAACAAAACCTGCGAAGTATCCCCACCGGTAATTGTAGCTCTTTGATTACATCAGTGGTCGCATTGTCCGGCGCAAATAGAAGCAGCCGCGAGTCGTGATCGACGCGTTCGAATCATGCGGGTCGAGTGCGGACTATCTACGATGAATCATAAAAGATATTATCAACAACTATAATAAATATAAGCTTTCTCTCATCTTCTTATTCTTCACCACCATCATTGTCACGTAACTTTCTCTCTTCCTTTTCACCATCACCATGGTCCTCGCAGTCGTCGTCATCACGCCTTAAAAGTTCACTGTTGGATATCTTCCCATCGTCTTGGATTACATTATGTATTTATTATACTGGTATGTTGTCACCTACGTAGTATTTATCAGTAAGTCACTACACCATGTATATTATTTTATTCAAAATGTTATAACTCACTACCCCATATATTTTCTAATAAAGCCAAAGGGACACTTATGATTATTTCTAATGACGATAAGCGGCCACTGCAGTCATGGACACCTGCAGCGAACTTCAAATAAAGAAGGATACAGATGCGTTGTTATCAGAAGACTATCATCTAACACTGCGTTCAACTATTCGCCTACTGAGCATGCCAACTTGACCCCGAGCGGATTCATTGAAAAGCCAATGTTCAGCAGTGGACTTTTAATAGGCTGTTGCGAATGACTGAATGATAAAAGATGATGTATAAAATTTTGCAAGCTTTCCTATGAACATTTCGTTACATGCGTGCCTTTATTTTATTAATTTACAAATTATTAAGATATTGTGTGATTATTTTGTAAGTGATTAAGGATACCTAATATACTAAGGAGACGAAAATAAAAACAAAAATTTGTCAAGTACGGCTTACGTATTTATTTTTCAAATAACGTATTTAAAATCGCATTAACAAGACGGCACGTTTTGAGGGGAAGTGTTTTATTATTGCTTTTATCTTTGGGAATCTAAAAATTTTTTTCGGCCATTTCATAGCTCGTCATTTATATCGCAACTGCTAACAATTAATTTAATTAGGAGCGTATCGCGATGGGGAGTTTTCGTCCGCTCCATGTTTTTCGTGTAATCATTTATTATTCTCGCTTAACAGGTCACAGAGCAACGTAGCTAAAGCTTTAAAAAAGGACGCGGGAAGTGTTAAGATTTCTATTGAAATAGATGTTGTACCTGTAAAAATCATAAATCAGAAATTAATTAAATAATACAGACACTCATAGATAAAAACTAATTACCCTCTTATACAAAAAAAAGATATATTTGCGTAAATGATACGAAAAATCAGAAAACCATTATTATTGACAACTCAATGAAACTGAAAATTAGATTTGATAGCTCGGTAGCACAATGGCTTTTGGCTCCGGCGCGGCGGGGCCGTGGTTTTGATTCTCGTACGAAATTAACAGTGGTAGAGCCACGCGGCAGATTTTTTCCGTCGCACGGATGGGCCGGCTCGAACCGGGGTGGTACCACGACCTCACAGAATACCAGCCTGAAGTAGAGGTTTACCTCTGCGTTTCGCTTGGTGAGTGCAGGTGGCCGGAGGCCCTTTTTACTGGAAATGAGGCATTCCATCTTAGTCCTCACGGGTGACAACGCATCTGCATTTTGATTCGCAAACGAGGATAGAAGTAGATGTCTATGGGCCGCAGCAACCACTTACCATGAGGTGGACTGTGTGCTCGTTTGTCACCCTTATCCTATAAAAAAAAAGAAATAAGTTTCTCTATTATCTACAAATAATTTTTCTGAATCTGAATATTTGTCCATGCGCAATTTATGTATGTAAAACGGATTCACGATACAGCAGCAAATCCTTGTGTAATGTTTTTTTTTAAATGAAAAATGTGTAAGTATAATAATAACAATAAAAAATATCATTATCGGAAATCCATCAGCTAAGCTACTCTCTATAATATTGAAATTATCATCCTTGGAAGCCATGGTAGCTCATAGATAAAGCACTTGCTCAAAATATTACAGTACGCGAGCAACACGGGTTGAACCATCACCGGCAAATAAAATTGTTTTGTGTTTGTGTTAGTGTATCGCTAGTCAAGTGGTCACGTGACTGGCGATGAAGAAAAACCTCGTAAGGAAATGTCTGAGGAATTAGGTACTTTAAAGCCTTGTAAAGTCTGCCAACACGCAGCACGATGGCCTTATTGCTTCGAAAATTCTCTTAGATATGAGAAAAAACCTAGAATCTTGCAGACCAATAAAATAGTATGGGATATATACCTAACTTTACTTTACTTATAATCTGTCGGAAGCCAGGCTGTTTTTATTACGTTTAAAAAGTCCATTTAAAAAAAATATGAAAGAATCCTTTATCCAAAAGAGGAAAGCTTCATTTATCAGTACTTTAACTATTCAGCCATAATTATATCTCACTGAGGGCGCACTGATACCCAATTGTGTATTTGTGTGGTCCGTAAAGAGATCCTTGTTTAAGAACTTCAGGGGTCCTCAGAGGTCACAACGCATCTGAAATTTGATTCTTAATCGAGGATAGATGTAGATGTCTATAGGCCACAGCATCCACTTACCATCAGGTAGACTATTTGCTCGCTTCGCACTATCCTATAACCACGAAATCATACTGATTTTATTTAGTCACTTTGTACCGAACCCGCACACTTATTGGATATGATTACACAATTGTTTCGATTACATTAAGGGTTTAGTTTTGAAGTTATAAATTGGTTAGTTTTTTTGTATAACATGTTTGCATTTGTTTTAATAAATAACTTTTCTTTATTCTTTGAAATATTGGTAACAGAATACGTTATAAATCGCCAACCATATTATTTAAAAATCTTAATTTTTTTAATCAAATATAATATTTTCAACCTGAATAAAAAACAGTAAAACCTTCTTAGTTATATAAAAAGTAGTGAAAACTATACTATTATGAAGACTTGTTCAAAATATAGAGTTTTTTTTTATATTGCGCAACCAACTTGCAAAGGTAAATGGTTTCGAACACTGCTGCATATTTTCAAAATAAGAGAAAATTGCCAGATGACCGTGTGAAGCGTAGTCCTATTGTTGTATTTCTATTATATAACTAGCGTTAATTAAAACTAACCTATCATCAAAAAGGTCATACCATTTACTGTGTACAATTAAAAAACAATATTAGCAATAAATGACCCTGATTACCCATTTAAATTGCCCTTAAATATCTATAAAACACCATAAAACCGCAAAACAATTTTCACTTGATATTTATCGCGTGCATTCCCACGGAATATTGTGAATTACAGATCCTAATAATAAATTGATGAATCATGATTATTTTAGTAAGTATAAGTGATGGGAATTGACAGTTGTCTTTAAAAAATTGACTACTGAAAACTAAATCATTAAAGTTTTTATTAACTATGTAGCACATTTTTTTTAAATTAATAAACGTTTCGGCTTTAAAACAGAGCCGAAAAAATTTAATTTTCTTTTTAAATTTCTTAAATCCACATTTGAACCTTCGATATATTAAGAGAGTGAAAATAATTTAGTATATTTCTGTAAGCATCATCTCAGAGGTAAGTAAATCTAAAAAGTGTGACTTTTAGATTCAACGATAAATATAAAGCTTATATATATTATTCACAAAAAAAAATACAAATTCAAAATGTTCAATAAACGAAAGAGTCTTCAGATTATCGTAACTCAATAACCATGATTTCGATATATTTGACCAACCGAGAGTTGAATCCAAAGACTCATCCGTATTTGCAAGGATGAACGTGGTAATATTTATACAACAGTTTGGAAAATCCAAATGTGCACGCCTCATGAACCGTTAATTTAATTTTGATGAAAAATATTGTAGTCCTGAATTTTAAAATATATTATTTACGTGTTTTAAATTTAGTGCTCTATTATTTTAGCACCCTCACAGAAATGAGAGGAAGCCTGTGTCCAGCAGTGGGACGTATATAGGCTGTAACTTTTTCACTTTTTTAGCTCTATTATTTTAACAGGTAGTGTCACCTCATCATCATCATCATCATTACAGCCCTTCACAAGTCCACTGCTGAACATAGGCCTCGCCCAACGAATGCCACAAAGCACGGTCCTGAGCCACCTGCATCCATTGACTTCCTGCATATCTTACCAGGTCGTCACTCCATCTAGTGGGGGGACGCCCTACAATTCGCCTGCCGGTACGAGGCTGCCACTCGAGAACCTTTCTTCCCCATCGGTTGTCGGTTCTTCGAGCTATATGGCCGGCCCATTGCCACTTCAGCTTACTAATCCGTTGGGCTATGTCGGTCACTCTGGTTCTACTGCGGATATCCTCATTTCTGAGTTTATCACGCAGAGAAACTCCGAGCATAGCCCTCTCCATAGCTCGCTGAGCGACCTTGAGCTTCCTCATCCGACCAGCAGTGAAGGACCATGTCTCAGTTCCGT